AATATCATATCACTAAATGGAAGATATCATTTTGACAGCATTAATGGACATGTATAAGAAAAAGTGCACCTCAGCTTACAGGGATTTTGGCATCTTTGTCATCCTCTTGCAATTGCCAGTGGACAACTACAGTAATGCGCAGAGTTGGAACTGTAATCCTAATAAGCTTGAGGTCAAAAATGCTAGTACAGCTGTATACAGCTCACCAAGGCATTTACAAGTCTAGGGCAAAGGAAGAATGATGTTTACCTGGTGTTAACAATGATATCTAACAAATGTAAAAAAACTACAAAGTTTAAGAAAACTGACTTGACAAATATAAAAAGACGTTTTGGCACATTCAACAGCATAAGCTTGTTAGAGGTCATGCATTCTTACTAATTGTGGACTATTTCTCAAAACATTCACAGGCTTTCAAACTACTAGGTAAAACATCTCACAGATTCAGATTTTCTATGGTCAGATGGAAAAAGTGCAAAAGATTCCTCCATCTAGGCTAAACTGTGTGGATGGAGAAATCTCCCACTGGGCCAAGCTTCAGGATCTTGCTAGTCGGCCCCTCTGGCTCTCAAAATACCTGTGAGACCATGTGTAGGCAACTTCAGCATTCCATCTGTTGTGGAACTACAAGTCCCATTATGCATGGCAAGACTCTGAGGCAGAGGCATTATGGTAATTGTAGTTTCACCAAAGCTTTTGTACCAAAGTTGATAATCCCAGAAATAGACTTTGCAGTCCTTTGGCAAGGATCCTAATCACACCCCTTGACAAATCGTACACCATAACAGAGAAAGAACATTTATTTTTATATAAATCATAATATTATTAATTACTGAAACATTAAGCTTTTAAACTGTAAATGTTTTTATCAAAAATTACTTTCAGGTAAAATTTTAGAGTAACAGCTTAAAAAGGTAAAAATACACCTTTAGTGACTTATTTTAATTAATGTTTTCTCTACTGAAAATGCACCATTAAAATATTTATGAGCATAATCTCACTTTCCTTGTGGTATAAGAGCGTTGGAGTATTAAAGTTTCTCAAGTGTTTATTAAGAAAAATAAAAATAGAAGAATCACTAGATATGTGGCGTTGCATAAGCGAGCAGAGAGAAAATCAAAATGAAGAGAGGTAATTACAGGTATATTTGATAGTGTGTGCGAATATCAATAGCCATGACAAGAGCTGAGCAAGCAGAACACATTCAACCATGCAGAAATCTCCTGGTATTAATCATGAGTTAAAATCATAATTGTATTTTCTAGAGGCCAAGCCTGTACCATGAAAGCCATATTAGTTTATGTGCCGTTTCTGTCCGTTCTGCTTTTTCTGTTTCGGGAAACAAGCCGCAGCCAGTCAGTGGAACCTAAAACAAGTTTCTATTAAATGTGTGCAAAGGACTCATCTCACATTTGGTGATTGTCTAACCTGTTGATCCTAGCAGCTGGGCTCCATATACTCAACATATATTTCTAAGCAGTTTGGGTCATTGGTCTGGCCAGTTTGATACTCTTTGCATGGGTTTTATTAGGGTTTTAGGGTATTAGGACAAGTTGCCATGCACTTTGCTGCATTTATATAATACCTGGTTTTCAGTAAGACCTGTTGTCATCAATGTGTTTAGCGTGTTTTGAAAGCCACATCAACTGCATTTTGGATGCATGGAACTGCATTTTCTTTTTAAATCAATTAAATGAAATCTGCAGCACACCTCATATAAGCGTATGTCAAAATGTAGCAATTCAATGCTTGGTAATACTTAGCCTTATTCCATGATTCATATAATAGTTAGGCCCCATTGAACTCATTCTAAAAGGTGTCTTACATACCACATGTCAGCATTGCCTACAAGAGACCTTGTGAGTATTCTGTGAATAGATATTTTCTTTAGACCTACCAGAAAATGGGACCCCTAGTAGACTTTTTGATAATATAAAATCTCTTCATATAATATCACCAGCACACTAAAGTAGAGGTACCTGTGATTTATTTATACATCAGTGCAATACTATTTTTTTCAAAATATATTGTGCCACTTAATCAAGGTGTAAAAAGCAACACCATATCTACTAATAAACCAATGTGAAGGGCTACATATTCCCATTCGATGCCTGTATGACACTGTGGACAGGTTATTAAGTGCACCAAGAATAGGAAAAATTGTATGTCTAATGTGCATGAGACTTTGAAAGAGCTGCTGATTGTTCCTATTCACTATCCCAAAGGTTAATGGGATATAACATAAAACATCAGACATGTAGTAGTTTTTTTCTTCCCAAATGCCTAACTTCATATTTATCTGCTCCCATAAAAATCTATAGGACCACAAAATGCACAACTGTGTCCAAAAAAAGCTCATGTACTTTTTCAAGCTACAAGCAACACAATGGTAAGGGATAAACTGGAACCATTAAAATTAATGGGATTGTTCGTGTTGAACATTGTCGTGCATTAGGAAACACCACAAACTGCTCAGGTGTGAATTGGGGCTTAGTGTCATTGTTGTGATATTTGTTGATTTTTGAGAATGAATAACTTCACATTAAAAACAGCTAGAGAGGTGATTGAGGGCTTGTTTTAAAGTATTACATTTGAATGTAATGCCCATAGTCTGGGGCTAGGGGGACTTTAGGCAAAGTCCAAATATACTACATCCACTGCCACCCCTCTGTCCAAGTCAACATGCTTTCTCTTTAATAAAAGATTTCTGTATAATGTTTTGACAACACCTGAATTTAATTAAAAATCCATGCTAGCTATTGTCATACAAAAACACAGCGCTATGAAACTTCCCACCAATAGTGTATCCCAATGTGTGACTTTTATCAGCGTGTATATACACAATATAATTAAAACCTTTATTAAAACTTAAGATAAGACAATAATTATAAAGTAGACATGTAAACCGGCAAAAACATTGGATTTTTCATTTTTTTTGGATTTTCGGGTTTCTGGTCTGAACGCCATTTCATTAATCAGATCTTTTGGAATTTTTCCATTTAGTTGTGGACCGGGTTTTTCGATTGGCCATAAAACAGTCACGTCTTTTTTAGTTTTCATTTTGAACAAAATTTGGATGATCCGAAATTCCATTAAATGAACATTCAGATTTGTTTGCATTGCACCTCATTGGAATTCGGACATTCGGATGCATCTGAATGTCTGAATTGATGAAATTTTGTCTAAATTTCCATTCTGAACGAAACTTATATGTCTATTATAAAATGCTCTTGTGCTTGATCATATACATTCATACAAAGTGCTCCAGTGAATCTCTATGTAACATTCTTCTTTTTGTCACATCAGATTCCACCAATGTGTAGCCCTCTCCAAATTCAAACCACTCGCCAGATCCGGTATGACCTAGTATCGGTATACTCAAATATATGGATATAGGTCAAAAAACACTTTTTTCTTTCAATCGGATACTTCCACCATCTTATCCACATATAAGACTCAATTATTTCTTCAAGTGCTTTCCTCCAAGTATGTATGTTAATCATTCAGATATTTATATAGATCTACTCCAGTATCCGTAAAGAACTCGATCCATCATGCATATAAATGACACAGGTAAATATTCATAGGATAAAACGTCTATAATAGAGTAAATGTAAAAAGCAAAATGCACTTAAATAATATCTTGTGTGCTTAGGCATGCTAGCTATTGCTTATGACATAATTTTAGATCACATTCCTCCATATAGTCCCGTAACAACACACTAACGCATCAATATGTTCTTGGTAGATATTAAATGTACATTTTTGAAGTTACTGGATGTACTTAATATCTAATTCCAACTTGAGCCACAACATGCGCCTCAAAGCTCTTCAAAATAAAAAGCAGTTGCTATACGCACCCAATCTAGTGCTCCTCCCTGCAGAATAACCTGGTCTCTGAACCAGTACCACCCCTATTCTGGGTTTAATGATGCATTCTACTGCGAGTCTGCCCCTGTCCTAAACTCATAGTAAAAGGTTGTAGAGAGCACTGTCCTGTCATGATAGAATGCAACTCTCTGCATTATTTAGGATCTGACCACCATCCGAACAAGTAGAGGGTGAACAAGACTGGTGACATTGCATGACCAGATTGAAGACACCTGAAAAAAAGTACATATAAAGGCCGTGGGTGTGCTTTAATGTCCAAAAGGGCAAAAGGGATAGTGGTGGGGTGTTGAGGTGCAAGGTGTGACTTGGGATATATTTGAACCTATATATAAATGCTGAAAGCCCATTTCCACCTTTGCAGAGGTATTTGCAAAAAAAAAACAAATGCATAATGAGTGTACATGAAGTAGGCAATATGTAGCTGCTGTATATAAACACACAAACATACTTTTTTGTTAGCTTCCCTCTTCAAATTCTCATGGAAATGGCTGCCTGCGTTTTGCAAGATTTTCCTGTGGAAATTTTTTTAATTTTTAGGCTTCAGGCCTAATAAAAACTTCATAAAAAATGAGGAAATCCTAAAGTGTGATTGATGAAAATATGTATATTTATACATCATCACTACACTCATTACCACAATAAATGCAAATCACTTCCATAGGTGGTAACTATGCTTTCAATCTTGATCTAAAAATAAGAGCAATGGTAGAGTTGGAATACAATGCTGGACCAGACTGCCTGCTGCAAAGGTCACATGATCAAATGCCAAGTGTTTTAATCACATGATACCTAGGTGGGTCAGCTGGATTGAATTCTTACCCAAAGAGCAGTATTCACCCCACAGAAAGGGAAATGTTTCAGGATATCTGTTACTTTTTTTTCTCATCCCAGGAAGACCCTTATTATGAGAAAGTCTATAGAAAAATTACATTAACTGTTTATTCCATGTTATACTCATCTGTTTTAGCTATATGACATCTCAAAAGGCATTTCAAGTTTTGTATTAATTTGTTTATACCTATATCTTGGTCTTTTTGTTTTTATATTAGGTCATTTTTTACATGCTTATTACTAAAGAAATTAATATTTTTCATATGCTTTGTCTTTAGGTTTGGCGTACAACAGATTACCTTATTTTATGAATTACTTCTTTGATACATACTTGCTAATTAATGAAGACACACCAGTTGGTAAGTGGTCAGTTATTATTTGCAACCTTATTATTGTTGGATGAATCAGAATTTCCTTATAGTCACTCTCTGGCACAGGGCTTTAGTTTTTTTCTGCTAAAACAACATGTAGAAATCTGCAGAACATCAGCTATGTTGCCATTTGCCAAATGATAATTACCTTAAAATGGTTATTTTGCTGATACCCTGGAAAAATGTCTTGTTCCTTTTTTTTTTCTTTTGCATTTTGTTCTCTTTAATAATTATTCTTAGTTTGAATTGCAAATTTCATGCTCTGACTAAATCATTATATATGATGAAAATTGTCAGCATTACTGATCTATTCGATACTACAAGTTTTCATGTTTTGATTAAAAGAGTTTCTTAGTAGTCCCTGTACAGGTATTCAACCAGCCATGGTTGGCTGTCTAAATGCAATAGCTAGCAGCAGAGATTCCTCCATCCACACTGTTTAACTTAGATGGAGAAGTCTCTTGGTCCTTTCTCGTTCAGAACATTGGACTGCACAAGAGAAATCTATTTGTGTTTGGTTAGCCTAAAAGCTTCACTTATGTAGACATTTCCCTGCAGCTACATAAAAGGTTATGTAGGGAGGTGAGGGGAGGGACGAAGGAGCTGGGCAAGCCCAGAAGGGGAGAGGGCTATGACATGCAAGGAGGGAGGGGTCTGTACTAGGGAACTGACTCTATTTAGATTAGACACATTTTCTAGCTAGTTCAGATAGGATCTTTTTAATGGCTTCTATATACAGGCTTTAAAGTCAGATACTGCTTTTTGTTATGCAATCACATTCTAACATTAAACCCAGTAAAGGATGTGTTTAACCTTCTTTGCTTACCATACAAAAGCATCTTATTGGATACCTGATGTGTCCAAAGAAACATGGTGCAAAGCAGATCAAACACAGCCTCAGAATGGTTACCAACACTATTTTACCATTGAAATAAATGGGTATCTCTGGACTTTCATCTGACCTGTGGTTCAAGCACATGTCAAATGCAGGAAAACAATGCCCATCTACTCTTCATAATGCTTAACTCTTCAGGAAAATCTGGTTTTTGTTATAGTGGTTGAAATGTAAACCACTGAGTACCTGTTCAGCCATGAAAGTATAAAGGCATTTATATATCAACAAAGTCTGCCATCCTTAAAATTAAAAGTGACTGTTAAATAAAATAAATGTTGGTTGAATATAGGATTTCTCACTCTGAGAAATTCAATTTTTTCTGGCCTCTGGGTAACTGAGATACACAGACTGATCATTTTGGTATGTTTTGCCATTGTGTATGCAGATGCAGATAAAGTTAACCTTTTTCTGTCTGGACCCCAATCGACATAAAAGGTCATATACTGTACATGTTGTGTTGATGATCATCATTAATTTCTGAAACCTGTTTTTTTGCTGATAAAAAATGTGAGTGACCAACTCTTAGAGGATTGTATTAGAATGCATTTTTTATTACTTTCAACAGCAGTAGCAGTTTTGTTTCACAGACCATTATTTTAAATAAACAAATAAACATAAAACTTTAAGTGTATATGTAGGCAAAATAAGGAAAATATTCAGTACATCTCTGCATTCTATGCACGTTTTATCATGTTTCTTTACAAATGTTGCAAGTACAGAAAAATACATATTGATCCTGTCCGAAATCCAAAGCTCCTACATTCCTCAAATAGATTGACAACAAGTGCCTCTGCTGCACAGAAATATGAAATAGTGTTGTAAACCCTGCCCCACTGGACTACAGAACACTTCAAACACTACACCCCTATGTAATGCAGATAATGAGAGGGGTGTTCTGTAGTCCCACAGGCAGTCAAACTCATGCAGGGCTTAACAAAACTCCTAGAGATTTCTGGAAGACCCAACAGGTATTTTTCTGTTTTTGAAGCTTTTTAAAGACACAAAACAGTGGTATGTATCACAAAGATTTACAGAATATGTTTGCTTTTCTGGTCCAAAATCAGATATATAAGGTGACAAGCCAGATCTGTGAGGTCTCATTCTTACTGTGCTGCAACTTCTGTGACAGCTGAGATGGGAAGGCTGCGAGTGCAGCATTCCTGCTCAGGGTTTACATGCAGCAGGGTGGATAATGTCCATTCTCCGCTCTGCTCCTACTGAGACAGGAACGCTGCACTTGCAGCCTTCCCATCTCAGCTGTCACAGGGGTTCCCCGCTCTCCTGAACTACCTTGCCGTAGTCCCAGGTCTCCCCAAAAAACGGGGGACACGCAGAACCGTGGCGGGGAAGGAGGCCAGTGGGGGAGAAGCAGGCGGAGGTGGGGGCGGACCAGGGGGGAAGGGCAGCGGGGGAGGACGGATGAGCAGGCTAATTACAAGTGATCTCAGCATCACATTGTACAAAATTAGCTGCAGCTTCCCACGCTCTACATTTAGCCCTGCTTGCCCAATGCAGGGCTAAAGGTAGAAAAAAAACTACTCGCTTGGCGTCCGAGCGCTGGGTGATAGGTATTCCACACCCCTGCCGCCCCTCTACTCCCTGCTGCTCCATGGCCGGGCCTCGGTGGCCTTGTGGGAAATCCAGCCCTGCATAAGCCCTCCCACTCCCTCCATTTTTTTGCACATGTCCTCATAAGAGTGGATGTGTTTTCTTCAACCCTGCTGTTTCTGTTGATTTGGAAGATTTTTCTACTATCAAAAGCTGCTGGTGGATTCATACCGAAAAAATGACTTCTGAGGACTGTAAAAAAAAAAAAAAAATCTTTTGTTTAATGTCACTTTGCTGCAACGAAAATTTGTTCGTACATACTACCGCTAACGGAAAATTCTATTTGTTTTTAAGTTGATGCTTAACACACTAAAACTTCATTTGGGAAAGAAATGCATCCAAAATTTTCATTATCGGAAATTTGGATTTGTATGAATTTCTAATTTCTGTCATTGGGAAATTTGGATGCATCTGAATGTACGAATTTCCGAAAATTCATCTGAATTATAATTCAGAACAAAACAAATAGCACATGTCTAGCAACAATCCTTTGGACCCTGCATAGTCCATGAACAGCCCTGATGATGGCTGTAGGCTTCTAACAACCAGTAGCAGGGTTTTGGAGTTTAGGGGGGGTAGTGAAAAAAGAGCACCCTTTCTGTCCAACTAGAGTATCTTTGGTCTCTGTTCATGCTATGGCATAGTCTCACTGGAAGCTGGTCCCAATAACTGTCCACCACAAAGGGCGGCCCAGAACTTCCTTCTTCCCTAAAGTAGTTTCTGTCCTTTTAGTTCAATCAAAACATCCTTTTCTGTTCCTCTGTCCAGCTTCACTTCACCAAAAGTAAATTTCCCTCCATTGTTTGATATGGTTTGGACTGTGAAAGTCTGTCAGCCACTGCTTCCTTTTGGAAGGCTGATTCCTTTTTGTAATCCTGGATGGACTGCATCAGGGTGCTTTAGCTTGTTGTTCTACCATCTCTAGATGGCTCCGGCACCCCATCATCTAAGATTATGGTCTGAAGGATCGGGTTTCCCCTTTACTGTCATGGTGCACTGTACTATTCTGTGAGTGCTTATTCATTTTTTATTTTTTTTGTCTGTTCAGATGCAGACAGTTGTGTAGTTGATCTTGGGACAGTTAGTGTTGTTTGCTGTGTTTCCATTCTATCAGTTTGACTGCTTTAGGACTTCCTCAAGGTAAATGAATCCTCAATGGATGAGAAAGAAACAAGGCTTTTTGTACTCGCCGTAAAATCTCTTTGTTGGAGTCCATTCAGGAACACAGGCCATGCCCCTCTGTGCTCATGTTCATGCTCTTGGTACTGCGTCCTACAAACTGAGGTGTGCTGGGTGTAGGAGGGGTTATCCAGTGCTGGCCTACAGAATGTTTTGTTGCCAGTGTTCAGTTCTCCTGTATGCAGTAGTATACCCTGAAGGCAAATGAATACTGTGTCCATCATTGATCTCCAAGAAAAGGATTTTACAGTGAGTACAAAAATGCTATTATTCCCATTTGAGGCAGCAACCTTAATTCTATATGGTCTTTTACATTTTACTTTAAAGGGAATGTATGTAAAAGCATATGCTTGATGTGCACGTCTATCAGTCCCTCTACTTATGCCAGCATCCTGAGTATAATTCCTAAGTCTGACCTCTCCTTCAGGCCTCACATACAATCATTGTCTAAATCCTGCCCCTTTAACAACCATAACATATCCAATTTTTACCCCTTCTAACAAAGGACACAACAAAGCTACTAATGTACTCCTGGTTATCTTTTGCCTCAACTATTACAACTCCTTCTCATTGAACTATCTCTACACAGACTATCCCTCCTTCAGTCTATCATGAATGCTGCTGACCAACCAATCCACCTGCCAATCCCTCCACTGGCTACAGCTAGAACAACATATAAAACATCATGCAAAGCCATTCACATCTCTGCTATATTAACAACCTCATCTCAAAATATCACCCAAACCATCCATGTTACTCCCAGGACCTCCTGTTCTCTAGCTCCCTTGTCACCTACTCTTACTCTTCTTACCCCAGTCTTTCCAGCTATCTCCTCCTCTGACAACATTTAGGCGATCCCTGAAAACTTAGCTCTAATGAGAAGCTTATACCACCTCCACCTAAAATCAGTACTTTTTCTATTGACTCATCCCTAACACATGATAGATACACAATCAGAAAAAGAAAAAGTGGAGGCAGACAATTTTCAGAAATAATTGCAGATAGTTCCCTGTCATGATATTTTCTGGACTTTCATCTAGCTACCAACTGTATGTAAGGATGACAATGACCACTGCGATCCACTATAACTTCCCACAGTGTCTCGCAACACAGTTCTAGAGCACCTATGGTCCCCAAATGGATGGCATTTATCTCCTGATGTAGAATGTGCACATATCACATATACAGCCAATCATACAAATCTCTACTCATCTTGTGTGTGTCAATGAGTTATGCAGTAGTTCTGATCCATACATGTACAGAATACAAATAACACTGTCACAACATTATAAAAACGCGAGCAGAA